AAGTCTCCTCGTTATGCGGCCGATAAATGCAGCCTGGTTTTTGCCCGTTTTGAAGGACGGGTCAAGTGTATCCTGTATAACCTTGGGAATCCCATGATTCATTGCGAGTCCAAGCAAGCCAGCTGCTCCGTGTTTAGAGGAAAAAGGTCAATGGTGCCACACAGTGGTGAATATTGGAAGTGCAGTTTGATATAATACAAGTGTGTGAATAGTTCTGTGTTAAAATAATGAAATAGTTGTTGTAAATGGTTATTGAGTCAGATATATGGCGGGTAACGTTTATTTTAATGAATTGTTTTATCTGTCCTTTGCGTAAATGGGTTTGGCTGACATTTAGGCACAGATTCTCAGCAGTGTGGGGACTATAAATATGATATTTGTGATGACTGAACTGCTGCTGAAGCTCCTAGAAAATGTTATTAGCACTCAAAACAGTTGTCAGTAGTTTCGTATCCATTCTTTGCATTCTTTGTACAAACTTTCACTGTTGCTAAGTGACATAGCATACCACAGTTGGAAGCCTAAAGGGTTCGTTATTATCCTGCAGCAATGTGTCGCAGTGAGCATATCTGTGTTCACTGCGACACACAGCCGCTGAAATCCAACACACCCATGGATTTGGCTACTAAACATAGAAACAGAAAAGACAAGTGCACCACCTAGTGGTATGGAGGGGATCTTTTTTTTTTTAGCCATCTCTTTTAAAACAAATAGACTCACCTTATCTCCTCTTTGTCCTGCTGGACCAGGAGGTCCGATTATGCCTGGAATGCCCTATAAATAAATTTAAAATGTTGGTATTTAAAGTGAACTAATCAAGTGTATTAAGATGATATTAGATTTGCAGCTAATGTTAAAACGTATTTTACCGCATTTCCTGGTGGTCCCCGAAGCCCCTGAGGTCCTGCTGGACCAGGTTGACCCTAGGAAAAACATACAAGACTTTCAAAGCTTAATGACAGTGTACTTCATTACTTGGTGTAGAATGGTAACTTTTCACCGGCCAAAGGAACTCACAGGGTCTCCTACACGACCAGTCTCCCCTGTGGGTCCTGCATCTCCCTTTGGGCCCTAAAAAAGGCAGCTGATTAGAAAAATGTCACATAAAAAGATGGAGTTGTATAAAGAAATGTAATAGTGTTCTTACAGGTGCTCCTACTGGCCCTTGGAAACCTTGTTCACCAGGTACGCCTCTTTGGCCCTATTGTTGAGCAAAAACATCCTTTAAAAAATTATTTCAGCAGGTCACAAAAACACGTAAGGCTTCAAATTAACATTGGAAAAGAATTCGGTTCTATTTTTTCTTCTCAGTCACATTTAAAAGTAAATATAAACTTTAATGTTACATAAAGATAACCTTAATTTGTATGGCAGTTTTAGGATAATGATTTTATTTATAGAGAGAAAAAGAACAAAACCAATAAAGCCATACAACTAAAAGTAATCAGTCCCACACCAGATGGCTTCCTGTGCCACTAATGGTGACCAGAATATGCTTATAGAAAGCGGTTCTGGATTCCCAAAGCCACAGAAACGTTTTTATTAATGCAAAATCTTCAACACCTCTTGACCTGGATGGCAAAACTGCTATCAAGCTTTGGATGCAACTAATGATTGTTGTTGATGTATTGATGTGCATATTTTGGAGCATTCATTCATTTTCTACCTCACTATATTTACCAGTTTCCATTATTTTAAATTTAGTGCTTTTTTAAGCAGAGGACCTTTTACTAATCTGTTCTTGAATTTAATTTAAAGACATGATGAGTTGCTTTTTAGGATAATTTAGCTCACAATGTGGATAGAAAGGTTTAACTGAAATAATTTTGTGCAGCCTCCTACTGTCAAAATAATGCCACTGTCCACCATTAGAACCATTCATCTGTATGTGGCAGGTAGGCCCTCCCAAAGGTTAAAGGACAGCAGCTGATAGGGTTTATGCCATTCAGGTGTCTTGGTGATTTCAGTGTAGCCAGTTAACAGGTTAAACTGTCAGGGTCAGGTAGTGATGGTGTCTGGGTGTTGCAAGGAACTTAGCTTTTCAAAAAGATGAATAAATAACATCAACGAAATTGAGCCAAGTTGTTTAAAAGGTATTTTTTTTACGTTAATAAATGGGTTATGGTAAGTATAACATATTATTTACAAAACAATTGAAGCATAAGTAATCCATAGATATATTTTTATACTTCGTATATCTTTATCCACTTTGCGTTAACAATAAATTAACCCACTTTAATTTATATAGCCCTTTACATTACACAAACTGACCAAAGTGCTGTACAGAAAATTATATTTATATATATATATATATATATATATATATATATATATATATATATATATA